GTTTATGGAAAAGAGTAAAGTAGGGTAGAATAGGGACAGAGTAAAGGTACAAAGTGAAAAATTGAAAGTCAGTCACTCAGCCGTGTCCAGCTCTTTGTGATCTCATGAACTGTATGTAGCCATGGCTCCTCTGTCCATGGAACAGTACTGGAGTGGGTTGCCATTTGCTTCTCCAAAAGGTACAGAGTAGGTGATTAAATAGTTCATCTCACTAAAAGATTTAAGTGAAGAAAAGTGCGGGAATCCCTGTAAGTTAATGATCACTCAAGCAAGCAGATTTGGGAGGGAGGCACAAGAGGGAGGAGATACATGTATACTCAGAGCTTGTTCACATTGTTGTACAGCAGAAACTAACACAACATTGTAAAGCAATTATACTCCAATTTTTTAAAAAGAAAGAAAGTAGATTTGCTTAACCACAAAACCAAGCAGGCTTGCTTAGCAACAAAACCATGTAATAGAAGCATAAGACATACCCTAAAACAATAAAACAATGGTGGCATGAGACCCACATCCTGCCCAGTGAGCTCACTAAGTTGATGATTCCTAGGACACACTCTTCTGCATGCACTAAAAACAAAAATATAAGGAAAAAGTGAGATGATTTACCACTTTTAACATATGTTACTGCCTTTTTGCTCATTTCCATTGTGCCATGACAGCACCCCAGGCCTCCCTGTCCATCACCAACCCCCAGAGTTGATTCAAACTCATGTCCATTGAGTCAGTGATGCCATCTAACCATCTCATCCTCTGTTGTCCCCTTCTCCTCCCGCCTTCAATCTTTCCCAGCATCAGGGTCTTTTCAAATGAGTCAGTTCTTCGAATCAGGTGGCCAAAGTATTGGAGTTTCAGCTTTAACATAGTTCTTCCAATGAATATTCAGGACTGATTTCTTTTAGGATGGACTGGTTGGATCTCCTTGCAGTCCAAGAGACTCTCAAGAGTCTTCTCCAACACCACAGTTCAAAAGCATCAATCCTTCTGCACTCAGCTTTCTTTATAGTCCAATTCTCACATCCATACATGACTACTGGAAAAACCATAGCCTTGACTAGACAGACCTTTGTTGGCAAAGTGGTGTCTCTGCTTTTTAATATGCTGTCTAGGTTGGTCATAACTTTCCTTCCAAGGAGTAAGTGTCTTTTAATTGCATGGCTGCAGTCACCATCTGAAGTGATTTTGGAGCCCAGAAAAATAAAGTCTGACACTATTTCCACTGTTTCTCCATCTATTTGCCATGAAGTGATGGGACCAGATGCCATGATCTTAGTTTTCTGAATGTTGAGCTTTAAGCCAACTTTTTCACTCTCCTCTTTCACTTTCATCAAGAGGCTCTTTAGTTCTTCTTCACTTTCTGCCATAAGGGTGGTGTCATCTGCATATCTGAGGTTATTGATATTTCTCCTGGCAATCTTGATTCCAGCTTGTGCTTCATCCAGCCCAGCATTTCTCATGATATACCCTGCATATAAGTTAAATAAGCAGGGTGACAATATACAGCCTTGACATGAAAAAGCCTCCTTTTTCTATTTGGAACCAGTCTGTTGTTCCATGTCCATTTCTAACTGTTGCTTCCTGACCTGCATATAGATTTCTCAAGAGGCAGGTCAGGTGGTCTTGTATTGCCATCTCTTTCAGAATTTTCCACAATAAACTGTGGAAACAATAAACTATATTGTTTATTGTGAAACAAGAAACAATAAACTATATTGTTTATTATTAAACAAAGTCAAAGGCTTTGTTATAGTCAACAAAGCAGAAATAGATGTTTTTCTGGAGCTCTCTTGATTTTTTGATGATCCAGCGGATGTTGGCAATTTGACCTCTGGTTCCTCTGCCTTTTTTAAAACCAGCTTGAACATCTGGAAGTTCATGGTTCACATATTGCTGAAGCCTGGCTTGGAGAATTTTGAGCATTACTTTGCTACTTATTTTGAGCATTACTTTGCTAGCGTGTGAGATGAGTACAACTGTGCGGTAGTTTGAGCATTCTTTGGCATTGCCTTTCTTAGGAATTGGAAAGAAAACTGACCTTTTCCAGTCCTGTGGCCACTGCTGGGTTTTCCAAATATGCTGGCATATTAAGTGCAGCACTTTCACAGCATCATCTTTTAGAATTTGAAAGAGCTCAACTGGAATTCCATCACCTCCACTAGCTTTGTTCATAGTGATGCTTCCTAAGGCCCACTTGACTTCACATTCCAGATGTTTGGCTCTAGGTGAGTGATCACACCATTGTGATTATCTGGGTCATGAAGATCTTTTTTGTACAGTTCTTCTGTGTATTCTTGCCACCTCTTTTTAATATCTCCCGCTTCTGTTAGGTCCATACCATGTCTGTCCTTTATTGAGTCCATCTTTGCATGAAATGTTCCCTTGGTATCTCTAATTTTCTTGAGATCTCTAAGTCTTTCCCATTCTATCGTTTTCCTCTCTGTCTTTGCACTGATCACTGAGGAAGGCTTTCTTATCTCCCTTCTTGTTACTCTTTGGAACTCTGCATTCAAATGGATATATCTTTCCTTTTCTCCTTTGCTTTTGGCTTCTTTTCTTTTCTCAGGTATTTGTAAGCCCTCCTCAAGCATTTTGCTTTTTTGCATTTGTTTTTCTTGGGAATGGTCTTGCTCCCTGTCTCCTGTACAGTGTCACGAACCTCCGTCCATAGTTCATCAGGCACTCTATCGAATCTAGTCCCTTGAGCTATAGGGAAACCCCTAGAATAGATCTATGCTTAATAAAAGTGTTTTCCTACCAAACAATGTCATGAATCCTCGTGGATTCTGAATTCCTGACTCACTAGCCCTAGTTTGAGAAATAGCTCGTCAACCATGAGATTTTTGCAGGTGGGAAGCGTGAAGCCCAGCGAAGCTAAGGGCCTTCCTTCTTTCCACCTGGCCCTCAGTTTTCTAATCTGAAACATGCGGCGATATGGTACTTCCAGGGCTGCAGTGACGATTAAGAGGCTGAATAAAACGTTTGGCAAAGTGGTTTTTAAAAAGGCCAAATGTGGAATACAAGGTTCCGTCTCGTGTTCATTCCCTCCCGTTCCCTCCTCCGCTTATTCCGCCCTCGGCCTCCTACCCATGAGGCCCTGCGCATCCTCCGACCCGAAGCCTGGATGCTGCCCGCCGAGTCCCGCCCGCAAGACCGGAGCCTGGCACTCCCGCTGCGCTCGATCCGCCTCCCGGGCCGAGCCCCGCCGCTTCCGGAGCCTGGGACCGGGTAACCAAGCTGCCCCGGCCCCTGCAGCCCTCGCACCATCCAGCCCAGCCGGCCGATTCCGGGGTGGGGGTTGGGGTTCCGCCCCTCGCGAGCCGCCGTCCCAGCGGCCGAGCCTCCGGCGGGCGCGCCGGCCCCGGGTCCCCTCCCCGCCTCGCCTCCCGGCGATCGCGGCGCCCTCTCGGAGCTCATCAGTAGCGAGACTTCTGAGCTCGGAAACGTCTCGCGATTTCGCTCAACCCTGTCTTCAGCGTGGCTGGGTCAACCTCCCTTTGCTCTTTTTTTCAGCCTCTAGTTCGGGCGCTGCGACTTGGAGGAAACCTGGGAGGGTTGAGGGTCCCCGACACTTCGAAAATTTTGCGGGATTTCTGCAATTCTCGGAGAACCCCGACACTAAGAAGCCTGTTGGGTTTTCCTAGGCTGGGAGTGGAACTTTATCCCGCAGACCTGATCAAAAACGCCTTGGCCCAAGGCCAGGACAGCCGAAGGACTGGTGCCAGTGACTTTGGAGAGGCTGGCGGCGCCTGCCATGGCCCTGCCTTGGCCGCCATCCCAGGGGCGCACGGATAGCCGCCAGGGGTCGGCCGCCCGGGTTTAAGTCTCCGCCCTGCCCACATCCTTGCTCAGAAAATCTCTTAGCCTGGAGAAGGAGCCCTTCTTGAGATGTTTCCCTGCCTGGCGGCCATCTCTTGTTTCCTTTGCTCTTCATCCAGATTATTGGTCGGATATTTTCTGACCCGTCTCCACCCTGGAATGGGGCCCAGCAGAGTCACAGGGGCAAAATATACAATCATGCGCCAGAGGTCATTAGTCCAGTCCCCTTATTATGCTTGGAGTCCCCGTTCAGCAGTCCAACCCAGGTCCTTGATTTTCTTGGTTAACTTCACCAGTTCACGTCCTGTGGCAGCTGCTTCTGCTTCTGGGCTTTTCTATCTGGTTTGTTGTTGCTGTTCAGACTCTTTGCAACCCCCATGGACTGCAGAAAGCCAGGCTCCCCTGTCCTTCTTTATCTCCTAGAGCTTGCTCAAACTCATGTCCATTGAGTCTGTGATGCCATCCAACCGTTTCATCATCTGCTACCCCCTTCTCCTCCTGCCCTCAATCTTTCCCAGCATCAGGGTCTTTTCCAATGAGTTGTCTCTTCACATCAGGTTGCCAAAGTACTGGAACTTCAGCTTCAGCATCAGTCCTCCCAGTGAATATTCAGGGTTGATTTCCTTTATGATGGACTGGTTTGAACTCCTTGCTGTCCAAGGGACTCGCAAGAGTCTTCTCCAGCTTTCACGTCGAAAGCATCAATTCTTTGGTGCTCAGCCTTCTTTATGGTTCAACTCTCACATACCTACATAACTACTTGAAAAACCATGGTTAAAGTTAAACACGTTTAACCGCTTAAACAACAGTTAAAGTCAAACCATTTGACTCTCAGTTTTCCAGGGAGCGCCAAGGGTAAAGAACCCACCTGCCAATGCAGGAGACGTAGGAGACTCAAAGTTCAATCCTTGGGTTGGGAAGATCACTTGGAGGATGGCATGGCAACCCACTCCAATATTCTTGCCTGGAGAATCCCATGAATAGAGGAGTCTGGCAGGCTACAGTCCATAGGGTTGCAAAAGAGTTGGACACGACTGAAGTGACTTAGCACACATGTATGCCTGATGAGTGATGGCCCAGGGGTTAGCTGAGGGAGCTGGGTGTACTTGGGCTTTGCCCCATGGGGTACTGAGCTTGGAGATTTAGTGCCTCTGGGGCTGGTCCCTCTGCAGGCCCCCGGGATCATGTGGTATGTCAGCACTCGGGGGATGGCCCCACGGATCGACTTCGAGGGGGCGCTCTTCTCTGGCTATGCTCCAGACGGGGGCCTCTACATGCCTGAGGAGCTTCCACAGCTGGGCAGAGAGACCCTGCATGAGTGGAGCACGCTCTCCTACCCCAGCTTGGTGAAGGAGCTGTGCAGCCTCTTCATTGGACCTGAGCTCATTCCTAGAGATGACCTAAATGGTGAGCACCCCTCTACCTTTCTACTCTCCCACCTCACTATTCTGCCAGCCCAGCCCCCAGAATTGCAAATCCATCATTTAACCCCTAGGAGATACCTAGTCATATTTCCCAAACTTTGGAGTTTTTCCCAGACTCTGAAATCCCAGAATTGGAAAAATCCTCAAAGAGTTTCATCCATTCCAGCTCCCACCCCCAGTGTGGGGAATGCCAAAGTGATCGGCAGAGAATTTGTTTTTAAAAAACCTTTTCAAGACTAGAGATTTCACCACTGACCTTGAATGAGATGCTTGAATGTTTGAATATTTCCTTCTTGCATATACGCCAGCATTCCTGGGCTTCCCTGGTGGCTAGATGGTAAAGAATCTGCCTGCAATTCAAGAAACCTGGGTTCAATCCCTGGGTTGAAAAGATCCCCTGGAGGAGGGAATGGCAACCCACTCCAGTATTCTTGCCTGGAGAATCCCCATGGAGAGAGGAGCCTGGCAGACTACATACAGTCCATGGGGTCACAAAGAGTTGGACTCAACTGAGCGACCAAGCACAGCATAACACATCACATATATAACATAACACAGCACAGTATATAAAGCACCCAGACCCACAGATTGCTAGTTTATTTCCTCAAATGGTAATTCCAGAAGGGACTTTGAGAGTGTTCTGGACCAGCTCATTTCAAACTGTTATGTGCCCACAGATTGTCCCTAGGAATCTTGTTAAAATGCAGATTCTGATTCAGTAGATCTGGGGCAGGCCTGAGAATTCTGCGTTCCTGTCAAGCATCCAGGCTTCCCTGGTGATAGAGGGGTAAAGAATCTTCCTGCCAATGCAGGAGACTCAAGAGATGTGGGTTCTTGATTCCTGGGTGGGGAAGATTCCCTGGAGGAGAAAATGGCAACCCACTCCAGTATTCTTGCATGGAAAATTCCATGGACAGAGGAGCCTGGTGGGTTACAGCCCATAGAGTTGCAAAGAGTCAGATATGACTGAGCAACTGAGCATGCATGCATCAAGCGTCCAGATGATACTAGTGCTGCTGGTCCATGGACCAACTGTATAATATAATCCATAACCTAATGGTGAGAGTTTGAGACTGAAAAGAAATCAAAATGTAGTTTGGGACTTCCCTGGTGATCCAGTGGTAAAGAATATGCCTGCTAGTGCAGGGGACACACGTTCGATCCCTGGTCCAGGAAGATTCCACATGCTGCAGGGCAACTAAGCACGTGTGCCACAACTACTGAGACCGGCTCACTTAGAGCTCGTGCTCTGCAAGAAGAGAAGCCACTGCAATAAGAGAAGCCACTGCAATAAGAAGCTTGCTAGTGCAACTAGAGACTAGCTCACTCACCCCAACTAGAGAGTAGCCCACCCACAGCTACTCTGGGTGTAATAAAAATAAATAAAAAAATTTTAAATGTGGTTCAGTGACCAGCATTGATGGCATTGCCTGGATATGTGTTAGAATTCTCATTACTTCCTCTGGCTTACTGATCCAAAACCTGCATTTTAAGATCCCAGGTGACAAGTTTGCCAATTAAAATTTGAGAAATGCTACTCTAGATGGGCTTAGCTTTAGGTAGGATCCCAAGTTTCTGGCATCACAGGTGTGAGATTAAGTAACGCAAAAACAAAGAAACAACTCTCTATCTTTAGGAAGGAAAGTTAGAAGAGATGAGATACTTGATTTGTTTGTTGCATGATTGTTTAATTAAATCTCTACTGGAATACATGCACACAAGAAATCCAAATGGTGAAGAAACCTATAAAGTAAAAAATGAAACTCTTACAGCATCAATTCTGCTGTCTGGGAGAATCACCGTGAGGAATCCATGAACAGTTCGGTTCATGTTTTTCCAAACTTTTCCCCCTAGGATTATACAATTATATTCATACACAGTATCTTTTACGATAAAAATTTCAGGTCTTTTTATCTGGTAACAAGATAGAAAATTCAAATTTAAAAGTGTAAAGAGACTAAGAATGAACTTGGAGGACGGGAGTGTGTGTGTGTGTGTGTGTGTGCTCAGTCGTGTCCAACTCTTTGTGACCCCATGGACTGTAGCCCACCAGGGTCCTCTGTCCATGTGATTTTTCAGTCAGGAATACTGGAATGGGTTGCCATTTCCTCCTCCAGGGGATCTTCCCAACCCAAGGATCGAACCTACATTTCTTGCATCTCCTGCACTTGCAGGCAGATTCCTTACCACTAGCACCACTTGGGAAGTCCTAGAGGAGGACGAGAGAATGCCGTTTTCACTGTACGATTTCCCTTCCTTCCCCCTGCAGATCTGATTGATCGTGCCTTCAGCAGATTCCGCCACAGAGAGGTGGTGCATCTGTCCAGGTTGAGGAACGGGCTGAACGTGCTGGAGCTGTGGCACGGGGTCACCTATGCGTTTAAGGACATGTCCCTGTGCTGCGCAGCACAGTTCCTGCAGTATTTCCTGCAGAAGAGGAAGAGGCACATCACCGTGGTTGTAGGTGTGCATCATGGGCATGTGCCCTGGAGCCCCACAGCACCCCAACTGGCCAGTGTCTGCCCATGGGATGCCCTCCACTGATGTCTCTTGGGGAGTGTGCTACTGATTCTTTTAGAGCAACTTTTTTTAAAATTGATTTATAATACCTCTGAGTTTCAGGAATACAGCACAGTGATTAGAGAAGGCAATGGCAACCCACTCCAGTACTCTTGCCTGGACACTCCCATGGACAGAAGAGCCTTGTGGGCTGCCGTCTATGGGGTCGCACAGAGTCGGAGACGACTGAGGCGACTTAGCAGCAGGAGCAGCACAGTGATTCAGTTATATGTATCTATTGTTGTTGTTTAGTCACTAAGTTGTGTCTGACTCTTCTTCGACCCCAAGGACTCTAGCCCATCAGGCTCCTCTGTCCATGTGATTTTTCAGTATTACAAAATATTGAGTACAGTTCCTTGTGATATACACTAGGTGCTTGGTGGTTGTCTATTTTATATAGGTGAAGTGCTCAGTTGTGCCTGACTCTTTGTGACCCCGTGGACTGTAGCCCACCAGGCTCCTCTGTCCATGGGATTTCCCAGTCAAGAATACTGGAGTGGGTTGCCATTCCCTTCTCCAGGGGATCTTCCCGACCCAACAATAAAACCTGTATCTCTTGTGCTTTTTGCATTGCAGGTGGATTCTTTACCCACTGAGCCATCAGGGAAGTCCTGTTTTAAATGTGTGTATATATATGTTAATCCCAACCTCCTAGTTTGTAGAGCAGGATTCTTAATGTTCTCTTGTGCTGTAGACTGTTTTGACAGACTGATGGAGGCTATGGAATCTTCTCAAAATAATAATTTAAATAAATAAAATGCATAGGTGATATGGTACCAACTTCACAGGTGCCTTGATTTCTATCCAGGGTCTCTTGGAGGTTCAAGGACCCCAGGTTAAGTACTGGGTTCCTACCCTCCAGGGTATCCCCTCACTTGGCAACTGTGCTTTAGGGGCCCATTTCTTTCCATCTCCCTTTGTCTAAAGAGGAGGGTTCCTTCTTTTTCCCATCCAGGAACTTCTGGGGATACAGGAAGTGCTGCCATTGAGAGTGTTCAAGGGGCAAAAAACGTGGACATCATTGTTCTGCTGCCCAAGGGTCACTGTACAAAGATTCAGGAGCTCCAGATGACAACAGTGCTAAGAGAGAATGTCCACGTGTTCGGAGGTGAGTGTTGGGACTGAGGTTCTAGGGGTAGCGTGGCCCTGCCTTGAGTGGCTCTATGTTGGGAGATGGACTGGAACCAAACTAATCAATTGTCTAGCTGAGCATCCTTCTTCCTCTCCTTTCTCTCTCCTTCTCTTCCTTCATCAGTGATATTTTGAGGTTGGTATATGCCCTGACTTAGCCCTAAGTAGGCTAGTGGTTATACAGTCTCAGAAACTATTGGAGGTGATTGGTGCATAAACCATTACTAATAAACAGTACATCCAAGGAAGTGCAGGTTTAAACATATACCCCAAAGAATGCTACCTCCATGCACATTCAACCTGTTTGTGCCCTGTCTGCAAGGCAGCCACCCAGAGCCATAGCCTGAGCCAGATGACTTGGATTTTTTTCCAGGGCACTGAAGTTCAGAGGGCAAAAACACATTGCCCTCTGAGAGAATGTGCTGTTACATGTTCGCAGCTCACACCCTCCCTTTCAGTGTTGAATCAACTAATGCATTTGGTTAGCAGGTCTAAGTATTGAAAATAGGAAGCTACTCAGTGGTACCTGTGGCTCGTGACTCCTACTTCCTGAGCCGCATCATGAATCATAGTATTTTATGCTTGCAGAAAGGCAAAAAAATCTTAATGTCTATGTCTGGCCGTCTATTCTGAGTGCATTTAATCATTATGAAGCCCAAGAGTGTAGGAAGGCAGGGTGAGTTTGAGTGGAGCCATACTTTTTATTGTGGGCTTCCCTAGTGGTTCAGACAGTTAAGAATCTGCCTGCCATGTGGAAGACCCAGGTTCAATCCCTTGGTTGGGAAGATCCCCTGCAGAAGGGAATGGCAACCCACTCCAGTATTCTTGCCTGGAAAATTCCATGTACAGAGGAGCCTGGCCAGCTACAGTCCATGGGGTTGCAAAGAGCTGGATCTGACTGAGCAACTAACACATACTTGTATACTTTTTTGTTGTTTATTTCTACCTGTCACACCCCACTGCACCCCAGGGAGCCCCAAGGAAGGGATAGGAAAATGAGCAATAGAGATCTTGGTGAAGTTTTGTGCACTGTGGCCTAGAGCAAGCTATCTAGGGAGCCTGACTTGGTTCGGTCACTCACCTGGCAGGACAACAAATGTGGTAACAGAAAACCCTCCTTCTATAGCTGACCTGGCCTCCTGTTATAATCCCATAGGTGATGTTTTATATAGCACCAGTTTTGTCAAGGACCAAAAACACAGTGAAAACAACCATTACCCAGGGGAGTAGCATTGAGTATTCTTTGTCTATTTGTTCAAGAGCAAACAAAAAGCCTCTCCTACTCTATTCTTTAGCAAACCCATATACATTCCAGTGAAAAGTTTATTGTTTAGCTAAAGCAAGTGTTGGCAGAATTAACCTTGGTGATTCATTGCCTATATCTGGCCACATATTGGGCTTCTCAGGTGGTGCTAGTGGTAAAGAATCCACCTGCCAGTGCAGGAGATACAAGGGATGTGGGTTTGATCCCTGGGTCAGGAAGATCCACTGGAGTAGGAAACAGCACCCTGGTCCAACATTCTTGCCTGGAAAATTCCACAGATAGAGGAGTCTGGCAGGCTGCAGTCCATGGGGTCAAAAAAGATTTGGATGTGACTGAGCAGAGCATCTGGCTACATTTTCCTGTAGTCATGGCAAGGTTTTAACGCACAAGATTCAGGTTCCTAAGGGTTTTTGTTAAACTCTAAGCACCAGGATTGCTATTTATGGATCTGCAACTGTCTTTGCCCCTAGAATCAGATCAGAGAAGAGCTTTTTGTGCCTCTGTTCTGGACCTGCATCCTTCTCTCCTTGTATACAGATGTTGGAAGTCTTTTATCTAAGGGCATGTATAGAAGCATCATTCCTGATCATGAGTTGGAAAACGGTGCACATTAGAAAAATGTGGCAGACATGTGGATGGTGATGAATACAGTATGTCATAAGTGTGCCTAAATTAGTTTTTATTTCACAACAGTACCATTCAAGTTCTTCCTTTCCTTTCTGGAGTCTTCTGATTTGGTTTCCAGGAGGATGCATTAGTTCGGGAGCTAGCAGTGGGTGTGTGTTTTCCCCTGGACTAGGGAGCTCAGGGAGCAGAGAGGGGTCACCTGGATTGTTGTGTCTTAGACACTTACGTTTTCTGAAGTCATTAATATCCATTGTATATTATATACTCGATTCTTCTTAAGCACAGAATAATCAGCCAATGCTAGTTATATATTATCTGGGATGTTTTTGCCTGGAAGTAACAGAAAACCTAACTCAGACTGACTTGAAAAGGAATATTTTCCACCTCATGTACTTGTAAGTCTAGAAATGGAACGGGCTTCTGACTGGTTGTTTCACTGCCTTCTGGGAGCCAAGTAATCTTGGTTCCATCTTCCCCAATTCTCAAGCTTTTTGTGGTTCATGATGGTTACTGAAGGTAACCAGGTCTCTCTTCCTGTGGCTGTCTCTTGAAAGCAGTGAATCTTTTCCTTGAACCCCAGAAAATATCCCCCTTGTAACATGGATCTGGAGTTAGTCCTGCAGTCTCAGTGCTACTCCATGATGAAAGGGGAAATGAATGGTAACCTCCATTCTTACTCTGGCATTTACCCCCAGTAATCTTATCCCCCTCCAGCCTCCAAGTGTGGATTCAATGGAGAAATAGACCCAGGTTTTAGATAAGAGGTTAATGTTGGCTTGATTGCTGGCTGGACTGGGTTGAGGGGTGCAACTTGGACTAGGCGCTGATTTGCCCAGCAATTACCCAATAATTCATCCATAAATTAAAGTGCACACACACCCAGCTTAAGGAGAATCCTGCCCGTGCCAGCTTCCCTGCCACGTAGGCGCCAAGGGCAGAACCTCCACCCTTTGATCTAAATGAGGGAACAAGGGCAGACCCCACAGAAAGAGCAGCTCTTTCCCCTCAGCCCCTGATGGAGAACCGTGGAGTAAAGCTCAGCCTCTCACCATCTTACCACCTGATAAACTCTCCTGTCCTTGTTCCCAGAGCCTGGGGAAGAGGGCATGGACTGCAAAGAGGAATTCTTCCCCCAGTGTCCCAGAAAGTTGACATTTAATATCTAATTTTAGTTAATGGTAGAAACATTGGACCGTAAGCCATGGGTTGAGTGGTATTGAGCCACAGGTTGAGTGAAGGTCCCAGTGGGATGGGCTGAGTCTGAAAGGCCTTGTGGGCACATGCTGACCATCTAGGGGTTCTTCGTGCTCCTGACAGCAACTTCTCCTCTCTCCCCTGACAGTGGAGGGTAACAGTGATGAGCTGGATGAGCCCATCAAGATGGTGTTTGCCGATGTGGCCTTTGTCAAGAAGCACAACCTGATGAGTCTGAATTCAATCAACTGGTCCCGGGTCCTCGTGCAAATAGCCCACCACTTCTTCGCTTATTTCCGGTGTGCGCCATCCTTAGACATGCACCCCCTCCCCGCCGTGGAGGTGGTTGTGCCAACGGGGGCTGCTGGTAACCTTGCAGGTGAGGAGACCCCTGGACGGAAATGAGCTTTCCAGAAAAATGCCCATGGTCTTTGTCCTCCCAGCCACCCTTTGGCTATAACCTGGGTTGGGTCCTTTGTTATTGTTTAGTCACTTAGTCATGTTCAACATTTTGCAACCCCAAGGACTGTAGCCCACCAGGCTCCTCTGTCCATGGGATTTCCCAGGCAAGAATACTGGAGTGGGTTGCCATTTCCTTCTCCTGGGGATCTTCTTGATCCAGGGATCGTACCTCGGTCGTCTGCATTGGGAGGAGGATTCTTTATCACTGAGCCACCATGGAAGCCCAGGTTGGGTCCTAGGTGACGGGGAACTACACAAAAGAACCTTCCAGAAAGTGTTTCCCTGACTTCCTGGGAGGACATCCCGGCCTCTTGCCACAGGGGGAGAGCAACGGGTTAACCGCAGCGTGCTCAGCCGCCTGATCTGATGTGTCGCTCAGCAGAGTGTGGGGAGATGAGGTGAAGGTCCAGCTGCCGTTCCCGGATGGCAGAGCCCTCTGCCAGGAACGTGGACTTTCCTCCCAGCCCTGGCCAGCTCCCTGCTCTGAGGGTAAGGGCTCGCCTGGCACGGCGTGTTCTCCTCGGAGACTGTGTGATGTGGAAAGAGTCCTGGACTTGGGCTCTGGCTCCAGTTCTGTCCTTTACTAGCTGAACGGGTGTCTCTTAGGTTCAGCTCCTCGGCTATCAAAGGGAGATTGGACCGCTTATCATATCTCTCAGGACGAACGTGAGGTGCAAATTAGATTCTGTGTGTGTGTGAACTTTGTGAAGGTCGAGTGCTATAAAGCTGCGTGGCATGAAAATCGTTTCCTGTAATAATTAAAGGACCTTTGATCAAGCACTGACTATGTGTCAGGCAGTGCTCTGAATGCTTCCCTCATATCTGTTTAATCCTCACATGGGCCTGAGGGGCACAATACTGATACTTTCATTTTACAGTGAGAAGGCTGTGGCACAGAGAACTCCTTGGACAGCCTGTCCTTGGTTATGCACTGGTCAGTCCCAGGGCCAGGATGGCAGCCCAGGCAAGCTGGCTTCAAAGTCTTCACCCTCTTGAGCTTGTGAGGCTGCCTCTTGATGGACGTGACTTTTTTCTGATGGTTCTGTTAGTGGCATCGCTTCTGATGGGTGCCCAGGTTGGCTTAGGTGAGACTATGAAAGCATCTTAGTGCCCAGGAGTCTTTCTGACTTCAGCTAACACAGGGATGGAAAAAATGAGTTGGCTGTTAGACAAGGATGGCTTAGCCTTCTTACCCGTCCGTGGAGTGAAGCCCACCACACTTCCCATTTGCATCACTCCCCAGGGAATGGTACCACCTGCCTGTGCCCTGTATCTGCCACAGTGCTTGGCACAAAAGCAACGTTTGCAGAGGGATCTCTGATCTAGCCCTGGTCCATCAGGAACTAGCTGCTCGACTTTAAGCCCTTGGACCTCCTAAGCCTCCATTGTTCCCCTGTCATACAAGGATATCATGGCATTTACTGAGGATCCCATGAAATAAGACTATGAAAGTGCTTTGCAAAATTGAGTGACATGGGATGGTGTGGGTATCTCTAACTCCTTTTACATACTCACAGAGATAAACTATTCATGGAAATAGGAACCTTCCTAAACTACGTTACCTTTCTGGGCTCTCCATCTCTCGGGCTGAGGCATTCCTTATTTGTTTGATGCAAACAGGAGCTGCTGTTAGGGTGGACAGTGGCTGCTTCCCTGTCCTCCCTCAGCCCCTTTCCAGGAGACTCAGCCTGAAAGCGCTGGTTCTTGGTCTGGGGACTCAGCGTGTGCTCCAGACTTAGACAGACCTCTAAGTTCACATCCTCACTCTGCCGCTTAGCAGGCTCTGAAAGTGAAAGTATTAGTAGCTCAGTTGTGTCCGACTCTTTGCGACCCCATAGGCTGTAGCCCTCCAGACTCTTCTGTCCGTGGGATTCTCCAGGCAAGAATACTGGAATGGCTTGCCATTCCCTTCTCCAGGGGATCGTCCCGACCCATGGATTGAACCTGGGTCTCTCGAATTACAGGCAGATTCTTTACCATCTGAGCCACCAGGGAAGCCCAAAGCAGGCTTTGTGTGGGTCTTTCAACTTCTCAGAACCTCCGTTTTCTCTTCTGCAAATGGTGTGTGTCAGTACCTGGTGGGGGCAGGGTTTGGCATGGAGAACAGCATCAGGGCACAGTAACCCCCTCCTACTCTTTCCTCCTTTTTTTTTTTGGTAGCAGCTTTATTGCTCTATGATTCACATACCATACAATCACCCATTTAAAGTATTCAGCTTAATAATTTTTAGTGCACACAGATTTATGCAACCATCACCATGATGTTTTAGAGCATTTTTATCACCCTAAGAGGAAGCCCTGTTTCCATTAAGCAGTCATTCCATCATCTCTCCCACCGTTAGGCAGTCACTAATCTATTTCATCTCCGTAGATTTTCTTATTCTGGACATTTTATGTAAATGGAATCATTCAGTATGTGGCCTTTTATGTCTAGCTTCCTTTCACTTAGGATATCATTTTCAAGGTTCGTCCATATTGTAGCACGTGTTAGTACTTTATTCCTTTTTATGGCTGAATACTATTTTATTGTATAGATGTATCACATTTTGTTTATACATTTAAGAGTTAATGGACATTTGGGTTGCTTCGGTTTTTTAGTTATGAATAATGCTGCTATGAACATTTGTGTGTATGTTTTTGTGTGGATCTGTTCTCAGTCATCCTAAGTATATACAAACTAGGAGTGGATTTCTGGGTCTTACTGGAACTCTGTGCTTAACTTTTTGAGGATTTGCTGGACAGATTTCCAAAGTGGGTGCACTATTTTACATTCCCACTAACAGTATATGGCGGTTCCAATTTCTCCACATCCTGACAAAAACTTGTTTTTTGATTCTAACTATCCTAGTGGGTATGAAGTGCTGTATCATTGTGATTTTGGTTTGTGTTTTCCTGATGATTAATGATGTTGAGTGGGTGTCCCTGGTGGCTCAGTGGTAAAGAATCCACCTGCCAATCTCTGGGTCAGAAAGATCCCTGGAGGAGGAAATGGCACCCCACACCAGTATTCTCACCTGAAAAATCCCATGGACAAAGGAGCCTGGTGGGTTACAGATGTTGCAAAAGAGTTGGATACCACTTAGTGACTAAACAACAGCATCAATGATGTTGAGTATCTTTTCATGTGTACATTGGCCATTTGTATATCTTTTTTGGAGAAATGTCTACACAAGTCCTTTGCCTATTTTTTAATTGGATTATTTGTATTTTTATTGTTGAGTTGTAAGAGTTCTTGATATAGTCTCGGCTCAAGTCTCTTATTAGATATACGATTTGCAAATGGCTTTTCCTATTCTGTGGGTAGTCTTTTTATAGTGATAAATTGATAGTGATATATTGATAGTGTCCTTTGAAGCACAAAAGCTTCAAAAAGCACAAAATTTCTTAATTTTGATGATGTTCAATTCATCTATTTTTTCTTTCGTTGTCTGTGATTTTGGTGTCATGTCTAAGAAACCATTGTTCTCCTCTCATAAGCTGGGTGCATCGCTCAGAAGATGGGGCTGCCCATTCACCTGGTCGTGGCAGTGAACAGCAATGACATCATCCACAGGACCGTCCAATGGGGAGACTTCTCTCTGTCCGAAGCGGTTAAACCAACCTTGGCGTCAGCCATGGACATTCAGGTGGGATGTGTCTGCAGGTCTGCCCCACGTGTTGGTTGGGTGGAGGTGGATTAAGGGCTGAGGTCAGCATGACCCCTGGGACCCTGCCTCTCTGCTCAGGTTCCCTACAACATGGAGAGGATCTTCTGGCTGCTATCTGGCTCTGACAGCCAGGTGATAAGAGCCCTCATGGAGCAGTTTGAAAGGACAAAAAGTGTGGGTCTCCCCAAGGAGCTACACAGCAAGGTCAGTTACCACTCACACACCATGGAGAAAGGAAAGGGTACAGCCACGAGACCAGACCTGGGGTTTGAAAATCTTTTCAAGGAAAGGAGATGCTTGGGTGTTTTTTTGAGTACCTGCTATGAGCCTCACACTTCTGCAGTCAGTTTATGAGGATTTATTTTTTGAATGGGGAGAGGTGGTTGGTTAAGAGGTTTTTGGTTTAGAGTTAGATGCATATAACTCCCAGCCAGTGATGAGACCTTGGATTAGTTTCTTAAACTCTGTGCCTCAATCTCCTCATTTGTAAAATGGGAATCATGAGAATACCTGCCTCATGGCATTGTTGAAGATTTTAGTCCATCAAGCGCTTTGTATACTGCCTGGCACTATAGGGCTTAATATATTAACTATCATTATTTTATTCATTATTGTTGTTGATTTCCAATAATGACAACTGGAAGCCACTTTCCCCATCCAGTATGTGCAGATACTATTGTTCAATTAACTTTTTTAAAAAAAATAAAGGAGAGGGAGTTTCTTGGCAGTCCAGTGGCTGGGGCTCTGTGCTTCCACTGCAGGGGACCCGAGTTTGATCCCTGGTCAGGGAACTAAGATCCTGCAAGTCACAGCACTGCCAAAAAATTAAATTAAAAAAATAAAGAGTAAGGATAAATTTTGTCTCCTAGATGGTTAGGAGTCTAGGGCTCAGTAGCTCAGTTGTGTCTGACTCTTTGCGACCCCATGGACTGTAGCCCTCCAGGCTTCTCTGTCCATGGGACTCTCCAGGCAGGAATACCGGAGTGGGTTGTCATTTCTGTCTCCAGGGGATCTTCCCAACCCAGGGATCGAACCCGGGTCTCCTGCATTGCAGGCGGATGCTTTACTGTCTGAACAGCTAGGAAGCCCTCTAAGGAAGGATTGCTTTTATTTTAATGTAACCTGGTGATGGAAACTTATTTAATATCAAAAAAGGAATTCATATATTGAATTTGACTTTAATTTTCTCTACCACATTCCTACCAGCTGGTCATCCAGACTGTGTATACCCCCAACAACAAGGACCTCACTACCTCACATCAGCTATAGTTGTTACAAAGTTCTTTACGTTAAGCCAGAATCTGTTCTTTCTAGCTTGTATACTGGTGAGCTGATTCCCATACTTGAAGAGAATCTTCCTTTACCTGCTAAGCCTTCCTGGTTCCTTTAGCTGTCCCTTACATGGTGTAATTTTGAGTGGTTAATGTCCATCTTAAAGAGTTGTTCCCAGAACTAGATACAGTTCTGTGGACTCAGTCACTCATACAGACTGGTGTGGAATTTGTCTCCTGGAATCTATGCTTCTTTTCCTCTCTTTTTTTTGGCCATGGCCTGTGGTTCCCCACCAGCGATCAACCCTGCCCCTACACTGCATTGGAATCCAGGAGTCTTAACCATTGGACTACCAGGGAAGTCTCCCTATGCTTCTTTGATGCAACCTGTTTTAATCAGTTTGGACTGCTATAACAAAGTACCACAGACTGGTGACTTATAAACAATACAAATGTATTTCTCACAGTTCCAGGGACTGGAGGACTGAGGTCAAGATGCCAGCATGGTTGGATTCTGGTGAGGGTCCCCTTCTGGGTGGTAGTAGGCCTCCTTCTTGTATCCCCATATGGGGGAATATGAGACACTAATAAAGATACTAATTCCATTCATGGAGGCTCCACCCTTATGACCTGATTACGTCCCAAAAGCCTCACCTACAAATACCATCATATTGGGATTAGGGCTTTAAATATATAAATTTGGTGGGAACACGACTATGAAGACCATAATACACCTAACGTTCAGCTTATTTAACGGTTTGTTTTGATATTCCTTCTCCTCCTGCAAATGAGATGCTATGTGAAGACAGACACCATATCCCCTAGTTCTTCATTCTCTCTCTGGCTGTACATGTAGAAGTTACTCCGTCTGCTGAAACAACATTCATTCATTTGTTCATTCATTCATTCATGTTACTTATCGATCATGAGCCAGGAACAGTGCTTGGTGCTAGAGATACAAATATAAATAAAACACTCATTGTCTGCTGTGAACCATAATGGGTCAGGAAGATGTCTAAACAATTTATAATAACCTGTGGTTTCTATTGGGCTTCCCAGGTGGCTCAGTGGTAAAGAATCCACCTGCCAATGCAGGAGACATGGGTTCGATCCCTGGGTTGGGTAGATCCCCTGGAGAAGGGAATGGCAACCCACTCCAGTATTCTTGCCTGGGAAATCCCATGGACTTGAGGAGCCTGGCAGGCTACAGTCCATGGGGTCACAAAGAGTCGGACAGGACTTAGCAACTAAACAGCAGCAACATGGTCTTGATTGATTGACGTTGATTATATTCATAGTTTTTGGCACATGCAGTGCATTTTCAGAGAATGATCAAATAAGCCATCTACACCGAGGGAGCACTGCAAAGGGAGTCTTCCTCTTTCTGAGGATAGTGGGCAATTTTCCTAAAGCAAAGTGGGAGATCTGGGTGGAAACTGATGGGAAGCTATTCCCACACCTACAGGGAGGGGGCGCACTAACAGCAAAGGACTAGGAATGCTTGAGTGCCCTTAGCCTGTGTTTCCTTTGGTGGTTGAACAAGCATATGTGCTATTTTGCTGATTCAGAGCCGAATTCTAACTCAATGTGTTGATCTGAAACTCAAACGTGTCCTTCCTCTAACTTGAGTGAATCTGTTTACAGCTGGGAAACATGGGAAACTAGCTTTTTCTCTGAGCTGAATCTGAGCCATTCAATCTGAGTTTCTGATGTGTATCCAGATGGTTGCATTGGGTGGTGGGTTTTTCGTCACCTTTTCCCTACTCCCCTCAGCTTGCGGAGGCAGTAACTTCTCAGTCAGTGTCGGACGAGGCCATCATCCAGACGATGGGCCGCTGCTGGCAGGAGAACGAGTACTTGGTGTGTCCTCACTCGGCCGTGGCCGTGAGCTGCCATTACCAGCAGGTGGACAGGCAGCAGCCCAGGTACTGGTGGTGGGCGCCTGAGTTTCGGGGAGGGGGCACCCCTTTGGACCTCTCTGGGCCCATCCTCTTCCCCAAGCAGGGGGGACAGGAAGGCGAACAACTTGCCTTTTTTTGGGAGCAGGCATCCCACATGGCATGTGAGATCTTAGTTCCCTGACTAGGGATCGAACCCAGGCCCTCTGCAGTAGAAGCACAGAGTCTCAACCACTGATCCAGCAGGGAAGTCCCACAGATAGGTTTTATGAGCATAGTGGGTGCTGAGTGAAGGTGTGTCCTGAGACTGTGATCCCAGAAGAGGGAGCTGGAACTCCAAAAAGGAGGAGCAGTTGGCTAGCAGAGTCATTGCAGAGATGAATTCAAGGGACCAAACATGTTTCTTTTCCTGTCTCTCTCCACCCTACCTCTAACCTTCCCCTGTTCCTTCTTCTCCCTCCTCACCTTCTTCCGGTACCTGCCCCACTATCTGTTGTCTTCCACCCCCTGTTTTCACCTCCCCTGTCCCCCCAGCCCTCCTCGCTGTTGTCTGGCTCCGGCCTCTGCAGCCAAGTTCCCGGAGGCCGTGCGGGCTGCCAGGCTGACCCTGGACACCCCGGCAGAGATCCTTGCCCTGGAGCACAAGGAGACACGGTGCACCCCAATGCGGAAGGGCGATGACTGGACTCAGATGCTCCGGGACACAATAGAGGACCTGAGCCAGCAGTGGCAGGGGCGCTTCCAGAATCTCCCGGCATAGCCCCGCTGGAGATAGCTTCCTTTAGGCCTCGGACCCCAGGAGGTGTCCCCCGTGAGCTGCCTGGTGCACCTTCTTCCCATTAAGAGTCTGAGCAGCAGGTTCTCAGGGGGCTGCTCTAGGGGTGGGAGTCTGTGCTCTGTTCCCAGGATGCTCTGAGCTGTCATCACCTGGTGTTGCATCTGATCCCCTGGGAGGTGGGGAGGGCTCTTGTAGATGTGGCTGGGGATGCACTCACCGCCGGACAGTGCAGGAGCATAGCTGCTGCCTCTGAAAGTTTCAGTGGATGAGAATATGCCTGCCAATGCAGGGGACACCAGTTTGATCCCTGGTCCAGGAAGATCCCACGTGCCAGGGAGCAACAAAACCCCTGCACCACAACTACTGAGCCTGCGTGCCTGGAGCCTGTGCTCCACAACAGGAGCAACCACCACAATGAGAAGCCTGTGTACTGCGAGGAAGAGTAGCCCCTGCTTGAAGCAACTAGAGAAAGCCCGAGCAAAGCAATAATAATAAGTAAATACATACATAAATAAATAAAAATTTAAAAAAGGAAGTCTGGGGCTCAGGGTCAACTTTGGCTCCAAGATTTTGGACCCCAGGCCCTGAAACCTATGCAGGTGGGGACCGCTGACTCTGTTAGCCCAGGTCTGGCTTGAGTCTTAGTTTATCTCGTCCCCAAACCAGATCCAGAGGCCTTGACCTGCCTTGTCAGAGGCTTTGTTGTTGTTTAGTAGATAAGTTGTGTCCCACTCTTTGGAACCCCATGGACTGTAGCCTTTCAGGCTCCTCTGTCTGTGGGATTCTCTAGGCAAGAATACTGGACTGGGTTGCCATTTCCTTCTCCAAGGGCTCCTCCCAGCCCAGGGGTTGAACCTGCGTCTCCTGCACTGGCAGGCGGATTCTTACTATCTGAGCCACTAGGGAAGCCCAACATATGTGTACTAAACTATGTATAATTTCCCTGGTGGTCCAGTGGTTAAGACTCCATGTTTCTGATGCAGAGGCACAGGTTCGATCCCTAGTCGGGGAAGTTCCACATGCCATATGGTGTGGCAAAAAAAAAAAGACACACACAGATATATATATATAAACTACACAAACTGTGTGCTAAAATAGACACGAAGAAATAACAGCACTTATATTTATCTCTTCTCCCCGCTCTCCAGTGGATTGCCTGTGGGCCTGTCTTTGGTTGTCCTGGTTGAGCACTGTGCCTGATGCATTCTGGAACTGGCAGGAACAGGGACATAGCTCCCCTGTGTTTGCACATCTACCAGATACTGTGTAATGACTTTCAAAGTGTGGTCCTTGAGTTTCCCCAAAATGCAAACTCACAGCCCCCACCCTAGAGCACAGCAAACCTGTGGACATGGGTGGGGTATCTTCAGTTCTTACAAATGCCCCCACGTAAGTTTCCACCCTCTAATTTCAGGAAACCTTGGCCAAGGGCTTTAAGTTTATAAGTAATTATCTTCCACAGGGAGATATGCTTTGTTTCCACAAGGGCATGCTTTCTTCCTGCTACTGTTTTTATGATCTAGCCTACACTGCCCAATTCAGGAACCACCAAACATCTGTTGAGTCCTCGCAATGTGAATAGTCTGAACTGAATTTAAAATTTTTTAATAATTTACATTTAAATGTCAAAATTTCTTACTTGATTCAGTTATTGGAAAACTTTTAAGTATGACTGAAAAAATGCAGGTAATGTGGATCTGCTTTTTCAGCTATAAAATTTTGAAGTACATAAAATACTTCATTTTGGAGCATAGTTGATTAATATTGTGTTAGTTTCAGCTGTACAGCAAAGTAATTCAGTTATACATGTGTCCTTTTTCAAGAAGATTCAGTGTTCTGATTGAGATGTACCACAAGTGTAAATTACATGTTGGATTTCAAAGACATCTAATGAAAAAAATCTAAGTTATCTCATTAGTAATTTTATATCAATGATCTGTTGAAAGGATGGTGTTTTTATGTATTAGGTTAAATAAGATATAATATCAAATTAATTCCATCTTTTTCCTTTTCTTTTTCTAAGGACATTTAAAGTTTTATATGGGGCTTGCCCTTGTGGCTCCCAGTGTATTTCTAGAGACAGCAGTGATCTAGAGCTTAACCTTGGCTTTGTGTGTACATGCACACACCACAGATAGTTGTGGATTTACTTATATTTGGGGTTCAACTCTCGTGTGGATTTAGGGAGGGGGTTAGACAAACACAAAGACTCCAATGTCAACACAACCCTCAGATCCTGGACCCTGGGAGCCCCTTTGGATGGCAGATGAGGCAGGGTGGAGAGATTTTGACCACTGGAGGGCACTGTTGGAACTACTCAGGGCTGCTGTGAAAGGACCCAGTGGCCATCTAACCACCACAGCTGTCTTCTCCCCATAGTTAAGGGGGGTTTGGGATGGACATGTACGCGCTGCTGTATTTAAAGTGGATAACCAACACGGTCCTGCTGTATAGCACAGGAAACTCTGCTCACTGTTATGTGGCAGCCTGGATGGGAGGGGAGTTCGGGGGAGAATGAATACTTGTATATGTACAACTGAGTCCTTTTGCTGTCCAGCTGAAACTGTCACAACATTGTTAGTCAGCTATAATCCGATATAAGATTAAAAGTTAAAAAGCTGCCTTCCTTCGCCCTGAGGTCTACAGGAGCTCCTGGTCGCCCAGGCTGATCTCTGCCTGTCACCCCACATCAGAACTTCCAGGCCTGCATCTCCGTGGTGTCCAGGGGCTTGAAAGGAGAGGCCAGAGGGCACCCTCTTACTGAAAAACTTGACATTGAAGCATGACCCTCAGTGCAGAGAGAGCAGGAATGCTGGACACACAAGAGGATGGGGGAGCCTCCTAAAAGAATGACCATGACCCTTACAGCCTCAGCACTTAACAGCTTCTGAGACACTTAAAGAGCAAAGATGATGAAGCCCCCTGAACCCATTTATCCATCAGGCATGACAGGCCTGATACTTCAAGGTCATGAGATATTTAAGAGGCCCATGAAGATATTTTAATTTCTTTTAAAAGCTGAGAGGAGTGCATGGCAACCCACTCCAGTATTCTTGCCTGGAGGATCCCCATAGACAGAGGAACCTGGCGGGCTACAGTCCACGGGGGTCACAAAGAATTGGACATGACTGAATGACTAAGCACAGCACACAAAAGGAAACAAATGAATATAATCTGGCTTGGATTGTATTCATGTTTATACCAACACAGTAGTACAAAAATATTTTAATATTTTTGCCCAATCAAAGCAAAAGTGCCCGGGGCCCACCAAAGTCATAATGCAGCCCTGAAAGGACCTACTGTACACCAGGTGATATTTCATCAAATCAGCTAATTTAATCCTGATGGCAAGTTGTGAAATGCATGTTACTATCAACTAGGTTTTAGAGCTGAAGTAACTTGTCAGCATGGCACCAAGAGGAAGCAGAGGGGTGGGACTTGAGCCCCATGTGACTTCAAGTTCAGCGTGCATTTTTCATCTCCCCAGGTCATAAGGAGCTAGTCACATTCTGCTCTGGTCTGCCATTCTCCATCCTGCCCCAGACCGTGGCCCTTCTGCTGGGTCCTCTTCCACCCTCTCTTATATGGGAGCAGCACAGCCGTACTGCTCCAGGAGGCCTGTTACAAGCTTCTGCAAACCTGTTTCCCAGGTCTCTGCCTGCAGCACCCCCCACCTCACCCCCACCCCGGCACCCAGGACCTGCTGCGTGTGGCCAGAGACAGTGGTTCCTTATTCTCTGCTGCCATATTTCTGAGGCCCTCAGGGCAGTGTTGGGGGTCACATGTGCATGCCAGGTTGCTTCAGTCGTGTCTGACTCTGTGTGATCCTATGGGCTGTAACCTGCTAGGCTCCTCTGTCTATGAGATTCTCCAAGTAAGAACACTGGAGCTGGTTGCCATGCCCTCCTCCAGGGGATCTGCCTGAGCCAGGGATTAAACCTGTGTCTCCTGCAAGGGCAGGTGAATTCTTTACCTCTGACCCACCCTGCTGCCACTGCTGCTGCTAAGTCGCTTCAGTCATGTCCGACTCTGTGGGACCCCATAGACGGCAGCCCACCAGGCTCCGCCATCCCTGGGATTCTCCAGACAAGAACACTGGAGTAGGTTGCCATTTCCTTCTCCAGTGCATGAAAGTGAAAAGTAAAAGTGAAGTCGCTCAGTCGTGTCCGACTCTTCGAGACCCCATGGACTGCAGCCTACCAGGCTCCTCCATCCATGGGATTGTCCAGGCAAGAGTACTGGAGTGGGGTGCCATTGCCTTCTCTGCTGACCCAGCCTGGGAAGCCCTAAATAATGTGTGCATGCATGCTTAGTCACTTCATGGGGTCACAAAACCTCACCTTCTGGATGGTTTGGAGACCTGTCCAGCACTGAGAGGTCACCATATATCTATGAAAGGGGACCCAGAAGAAAGCCACTGGACACTGCACAAATAGCATGAAACATGAACTTCAGGATATTCTGGCCATATTCTGGGGCTGATTGGAGGAAAGGATAGGAGTGAGATGAGGTCTGAAGAAACATCTACCCTTGTGAACACATACAGAGGTACACAGACACATACCTACATATACATAATCATACTTACATACAATGCATCCCCCTCAATGGCAAAAGTAAGGATCCTGTTACCAAAGAAGTCAGAAGCAGGATGAAGCTGTCCTTCTGTGTCATCCACTAACTGGCAGTGTGACCACACATGGGCCGTTTCATCTCCCTGAGTCTCAGTTTCCTCATCTACTAATTATAACACTTACCTTGCTGGTTTATTTTGAGAATTACATAAGATCATGCATTTCCAATAGCTAGGTAAATGTGAAAATGCCATAAAAATGCTTCTTATTAACATAGTTTAGTCTGCCCTGAACAGTTTAGTACTTCTAAGCTGTCTTGTGTTTTTTACTAGTTGCTTCCCAAATTTGTCTTCTCTTGCCTCTTCCTGGAGAATAAATTTCCCTTGTGGCTCCATGGAGTTGGCACAGCTCTGGGTACAGTGGTAGAATTGTTCAGCCTTGATCAGCGTGCCCAGCACGGTCTCTGCGAGCGTCAATGGGAGACTGAATGTCAGTAGGGGCTCTGCTGGGCCATTAACAAGTCTTGTTAGTTTGCAGTGATGAAGATGATTGGGATGATTCCCTCTCTTGAGCACTCATAATGGGCTGTTGTTGTTCCGTTGCTAAGTCATGTCCAACTCTTTGAGACCCCATGAACTGTAGCCCTCCAGGCTTCTCTGTCCTCCACTATCTACTGGTGTTTGCTCAAATTCGTGTCCATTGAGTTGGTGATGCTATCTAATCATCTCATCCCCTGCCACCCCCTTCTCCTTTTGCCTTCAGTCTTTCCCAGCATCAGGGTCTTTTCCTGTGAGTCAGCTCTTCGCATCAGGCGGCCAAGTATTGGAGCTTCTGTTTTAGCATCTGCCCTTCCAATGACTATTCAGGGTTGATTTCCTTTAGGATGGACTGGTTTGATCTCCTTGCAGTCCAAGGGACCCTCAAGAGTCTTCTCCAACACTACAGTTCAAAAGCATCAATTCTTCAGTTCTCAGCCTTCATGATCCAACTCTCACATCCAACTTTCACCACTGGGAAAACCATAGCTTTGACTATACGGACCTTTGTTGGCAAAGTGGTGTCTCTGCTTTTTAATATGCTGTCTAGGTTTGTCATAACTTCTTCCAAGGAGCAAGCATCTTTTCATTTCGTGGTGGGCTCAGCCTCTTGTAAAGCATGTTTCAGACACTGGCCCCTTCAGTCCTGACAAGGACTGAATGAGAAAGTATGGGCTCCATTCTAGAGATGAGGAAATGAAGCTCAGAGAGGTTAAGTAATTTGCCTAAGGCCACCCAGTCACTGAGTCCTGGAGGAAAGATGTGAGGCTGAGTGCAAGTTCTATGAGCTTAACCTCAGAGCTAGATCAGGAGAGGAGCTCTGGGCCTGATGGCTCCCATGTTCACTTCAAATCAGAGCCTGTGGGATAATGGGGTGAGGGCCACGTCTGAGGGTGGAGGAGAAGAGAAGAAAGCACACCACGAGGAGAAGGGCCATCTGGAAGGGGTGGTGGTGGTGGTGGTGGTGGTGGTGCACAGAGCCAGCGCCTTTGCAGGGAGCTCTCCTCTGGCTCAGGCTCCAGCTTGGAGCTGGGTTCCTCCTGGGGATGCCTGGAGCTGGTGTCTGCTGAGTGGAGTGGCTGTGGTCGTGGGACCAGAGGGAGGTGAGAATCATTCGGTGGGATTGTCAGCTGCTGGCCGGGAGGCCCAGCCTAGTGGCTACCACTGGAAAGACTCAGATGGATGAAGTCAGGGAGCTTTTGCTGAGTTTTCTGTGTCCCCAAATAAACAAAGGGTGAGCAGCACAGGAAGGGCTGGACCACTGGCTTCCTAGAAAGAGGAGAGGGCCCCCTTCTCTGTCCTGCTCACGGCCTTTGCCCAAGAAAGCACCTTCCCAGAATTCCCTTTTAGGCCCTACCCATCAGTTAATGAAAGAATAATATTCCACAACCTGGGCATCTCCCAGGTGCCCGCTTGGCAAATGCTGAGGGCCAGCGTGCTGGCTTCCTAACAATTGCTGCGGAGAGAGAAAAGGTAGGAAAAGATGGGGCGGGGGTCAACTTATGGAGAAGGGTAAAGTTTGTGGGAGCCCCCAGGGGCTGTCCTAAGGCTGTGAAGTCTGGTTACTGGTTCTCCAGAGCAGGAGACCCGGCGTCCTCCTGCGGCCTCCTCCTCCTCCACCTGCCCTGACCTGTGTCGCAGCGACTGGTTTAGGGCCTGCTCCCCAATTACTAAAACATTCCTTAAGGGCTGCTGTCAAGTACCCCATAAGCCAGGACCTGGCCTCTACTCCTAGCCTTCCCTGAATAGAGCTTCATACTCAGTGTAGAACAGAACAGCCAGGGGCGCTGCAGGGCCCAGAGGAGGAAAGATGACTAAGCTGGAGAGACTGGGGTGGGGTGAAGAAGGCTGGGCTGGGTCTCCAAGGGTTTGATGCTCCTAGACTCAGGACTATCTCCTTCTCCTCAATGGTTTAGCCATCAAAGTACCTGCCTGTTCAGTCATGTCTGACTCTTTGCAACCCCATGGACTGTAGCCTACCAGGCTCCTCTGTCCATGGAATTTCCCAGGCAAGAATACTGGAGTGGGTTACCATTTCCAACTCTAGGGGCTCTTCCCAATCCAGGGATCGAACCTGCATCTTTTGAGTCTCCTGCATTGGCAGGCAGATCTTTACCACTGCACCACTTGCGAAGCCTCAGCCATCACAGAGATCTATTACAAGAAGGTGAGGGACCTCCTGTTGTATCGAAAGAATCTGTGTACTTGCTCCTTGGGGAGGGGACCTCCTTCCCACTAAATGAATGAGCAGAACCTAAGTCACCAAGGCCAAGGTCCTGTGGAGTGTACAGAGCTAAGAACTGAAGCAGGGCTCTGGGCCGTCCTGTCAGGATGAAGCCCCTGGAGTCTCCTTGATTTGGCCGCTAGGAGGACCTACTGAGCGCAAGCTCTCCAGCGTCCATACCCCCCCCCCCCACCCCCCGGTCTCCTCAGTTTCCGGGATCACAGTCTTCCACCATCCCTGAGCCAGACCTCATCCCGAGGCAGGGACAGGGCTAACTTGTACAACCCACGCAATTTAGGTCTTGAGCGTTCAGAACAGTCAAGACCCAGCTCTGGGCAACGCTCCTGAAAATGCAGGTCCCTTCGAGCTGCATTCTCGCCCCCTTCCCCTGTGCCCCTCAACCTCTGGACCAATTTGTTGTTCAGTTGCTAAGTCGCGTGCAACTGTTTGCGATCTCATGTCGCCAGGTTTCCCTGTCCTTCGCCATCTCTGGACTAAAGAGCCCTCCAAATTCTTCTCCAAGTCTGGAATGAGCCCAGCCGATTATTCATATGGCCAGCAGAGGGCAGCAGAACACACGCAAAGCCTCTCTCCTTCCAAAGATGACTGACATCTCCCCACCCAGCCCCAGTCCCATCAGCACACCCCACAGGCATGCAGGTTTGACTTTGTTCTCTAGAAATTAGAGCCCCTGAAGGTCAGAGGGGTGATGGGCTCCAGAGGTTTTTATTTTTAGCTCATTGCTTCTCAAATTTAATATTGGGAGCTCCCTCTTTTGAAAGTTAAATATGTATATAATGTGTTTGTGTTTGTGTGTATCACATGTATTCCCAATATTGTCTTACATGGTTTTTCTTTTGTAATCATGCTACTAAAACATATACAAAGGTAAAACTACCTATGAACCTGTTGTGCTGATAATGCCCATACAACGAGAAACAGAAATAAACATTCCAATTAAATGAGAACAAATCTACAAACAAAATCAATAAAATTCAAAGTAATCCCATTGATGTATGTGATCTCTTATGTACTGCACTCAAATTTCTGGTGTCCTGTGATGGGGGCACTGCACTCCTTAGACATGATTGTTGTCGCTCGTTTAGTGTATTTACCTCCCTTTTGAGGTGAAATAACTTCCATTGCTTTTTGTATATTACACATGGGGACACATCCCAAGCACAGTCCGTTGTGATGTCATATAACCTTTACATCTGTTTGCCTCTCCTTACTGGTTTGTGATAATTGTGATTTTGTTGCTTGCAACTGTAAATACAGGTACAAATGCAGACAGTAAAATTATGTGTTGACTTACTTTGAAGGTGGCTGGACAGATGGTGCAAAAATGTCTTAAAAATTATCAAATGACATCACATACACAAATATACTACTGATCAAGAATTCTTAAACAGCAAGAATATTTACTCTTTGATATTACTTGCATGTGGAATCTAAAAACTGATACAAATGAATGTATATGCAAAACAGAAACAGAATCACACACACAGAGAACAAGCAAGTGGTTACCAGAGGGGAGTGGGAAGGCAGAGGGAAAAATTAGGGGTATGGATTAAGAGATACAAACTACTATATATAAAACAGATACACAATAAGGATAAATTGTATAGCACAGAGAGTTATAGACATTATCTTGTAATAACTTTTAATGGCATGTAGTCTGTGAAAATACTGAATTACTATGCAGTATGCATGCACGTTTAGTCATGTCTGACATTTTGTGACCCCATGGACTGTAGCCTGCCAGGCTCCTCTGTCCTTAGGATTTTCCAGGCAAGAATACTGGATTGGGTGCCACTTCCTCCTCTGGAGGATCTTCCCAACTCAGGAATCGAACTTGTGTCTCTGGTGTCTCCTACATCTCCTACGTGGGCAGGCAGATTCTTTACCACCGAGCCACGTGGGGAGCCCCCACTATACTGTATACATGAAACTAATATAATATTGGTAAATCAACAATACTTTAATTAAAAAATAAATACAATTTAAAAAGAATGTAGGTCTGGAGCCCTGTTTGACAACATCTTCTCCCCCAACCCTTGCTTTTTACAGATGAATGAACTGGCTCAGAGAGGAGAATTGGCTTAGCTAAGGTCACACAGCTAATTAAATAAAAGCTTGATAGCTCTGGGTTTCTCTCACTTTGCAAAGCAATACCTCCTGTTATGGGTTGGACCCAAGGAAAGGAGTTTGAGGAATTCTCTTAGGAATTAACCATTGCAGTTCAGGTAATTTCCTGCACATTTCAAGCAGCCATCTTTCAAAACTTGGAAGGAAAGAAATTAGACATACACAGAAACTGCCACAGACAGAATGAACTTGTCTAGAGCCCTTCTAGACTCTGGGGTTTGCGTTGAAGGCCCAGTCTATAGGCACCTGCCTATATGTTTTCATTTTCTTACACACATACACACACATTGAAGTTTATAGAAAGAATAAAATATGTACATATTAAGTCTTTCAGGAATTTAGGCCTTATTGGATACTATGGTTAGGGCTTGGGGGAAGCGGACTATCATTGCCCCAGCTCCAGGGGCAGATTTTTAATCTGAGGTCTACTAACTCCCAAAGGGGGCTTTCCTGGTGGCTTAGTGATAAAGAATCTGTCTGCCAATGCAGGAGACATGGGTTGAACCCTGGGTTGGGGAGATCTCCTGGAGAAGGAAATGGCAAGCCAATCTAGTATTCTTGCCTGGAAAATCTCATGGACAGAGGAGTTTGTTGGGCTACAGTCCATGGGGTCACAAAGAATTGAACACAACTTAGCAATTGAACAATAACAGGTCTCAAAGCGTCCATGGATAAAATTCTGAGGCTTTGAAAACCAAATGGGAAAAAACTGCATCTTTATATTCCCCAGACTGTACCTGAAATTTAGCACTTCCTTGAAATATAAATCTTGACAACAAACCAATTAACTCTAGTAGCACCTGAAACAGAAAAATTGCAGACATTTTCACATGGCGTTGTAGAAGCAGTTGTAGGTGTCTTGAAGTATCATTAACACTCATAACTACTTTAAAATAATATTAAATCTGACACTATATTATTTAATTATTAATAAAAACATATATTTCTATATTCAGTTCAGCTCAGTCACTCAGTTGTGTCCGACTCTTTGCGACCCCATGTACCACAGCACACCAGGCCTCCCTGTCCATCCCCAACTTCCGGAGCCTACTCAAACTCATGTTCATCAAGTCGGTGATGCCATCCAACCATCCTCTGTCATCCCCTTCTCCTGCCTTCAATCTTTCCCAGCATCAGGGTCTTTTCCAAGGAGTCAATTCTTCACATCAAGTGGCCAAAGTATTGGAGTTGCGGCCTCAGCATCTAGTCTTTCCAATGAATATTCAAGGTTTATTTCCTTCAGGATGGACTGGTTTGACCTCCCTGAAGTCCAAGGGACTCTCAAGAGTCATCTCCAACACCACAGTTCAAAAGCATCAATTCTCCGACACTCAGTTTTCTTTGTGGTCTGAATCTTACATCCATACGTGACTACTGGAAAAACCAAAGCTTTGACTAGACAGACCTTTGTTGGCAAAGTAATGTCTCTCCTTTTTAATATGCTGTCTAGATTGGTCATAATTTTTCTTCTAAGGCACAAATGTCTTAATTTCATGGTTGCAGTCACCATCTGAAGTGATTTTGGAGCCCAAGAAAATAAATTCTGTCACTGTTTCCATTGTTTCCCCATCTATTTGCTATGAAGTGATGGGACTGGATGCCACGATCTTAGTTCTCTGAATGTTGAGTTTAAAGCCAACTTTTTCACTCTCCTCTTTCACTTTCATCATAGGCTCTTTAGTTCTTCACTTTCTGCCATAAGGGTGGTGTCATCTGCATATCTGAGGTTATTGATATTTCTCCTGGCAATCTTGATTCCAGCTTTTGGCATTTCACATGATGTGCTCTGCATATAAGTTAAATAAGCAAGGTGACAAAATACAGCCTTGACGTACTCCTTTCCCGATTTGGAACCAGTCTGTTGTTCCATGTCCAGTTCTAACTGTTGCTTCTTGACCTGCATACGGATTTTTCAGGAGGCAGGTAAGGTAGTCTGGTATTGCCATCTCTTTTAGAATTTTCCACAGTTTGTTGTGATCCACACAGTCAAAGGCTTTGGCATAGTCAATAAAGCAGAAGTAGATGTTTTTCTGGAGTTCTCTCGCTTTTTGGATGATCCAACGGATGTTGGCAATTTGATCTCTGGTTCCTCTGCCTTTTGTAAATCCAACTTGAATATCTGGAAGTTCACAGTTCATGTACTGTTGAAGCCTGGCTTGGAGAATTTTGAGCATTACTTTGATAGTGTGTGAGATGAGTGCAATTGTGTGGTAGTTTGAACATTCTTTGGCATTATCTTTCTTTGGGATTGGAATGAAAACTGATCTTTTCCAGTCCTGTGGCCAAAGCTGTTTTCCAAATTTGCTGGCATATTGAGTGCAGCATATTACATGTACTTAAAAGTGTTTTGGTAACTGTCTCTCAGTGTAATTGGTTTCCTTTTTTATCCCATGCATTTTATGTTGTGCATTTAAAAATAGGCTGTTCTAGAAATTCATGCACAAGAGAATTACTCTATATTTATGTAAAACCTGTAAAGTTATGATTTCTTGAGCATCAGTTATAAATCAGGCACATTCTAGGTTTTATACAGTACATTATTGCTTAATCTTACAACAGTGAGTAGGAGGTTATCATTCCTCTTTTATACATGAGGAATCTGAGGCTCAGAGAGGTGTCTAATATCATTCACTTCACAAAATATAATACGTCCAGTACTATAATAGATACATTGTCTACTACTGTAAAAGACCCTGATGCTGGGATAGACTGGGGGCAGGAGGAGAAGGGGATGACAGAGGATGAGATGGTTGGATGGCATCACCTACTCAGTAGACTTGAGTGTGAGCCAACTCCAGGAGACAATGGAAGGACAGGGAAGAGTAGTGTGCTGCAGTCTATGAGTTCCCAAAGAATCAGACACAATTTAGCGACTGAACAACAACAACTGTAATAGAAATAGAGACAAAATGAGGGTAATACAGTATCTGTTTTTGTTCACTACTGTATCCCCCATGCCTGGCACTGCCTAGATGCTCAGTGGATGTTTGTTGAATGACTAGATGAGAAGACATCAAGTGGCCCTGCCAGAGGTGGGATAGGAAATGCTTCAAAGGAAAAATGAGAGTTAAGATGAGCCCTGGGACTTGGGGAAATTCAAGCTGATATAAAGCAATCATGGTCCTCCATTCCCCATGCCAGTTTCACAACGGGCTAGTCACCTGACTTTGGCCCGTGAGATGCAAGGGAAAGCTCATCCAGGACTGGCTCTGCTTCTTGACGTTGGAATGGGAGGTGGGGACACTTGGAGCCACTGCCGCCACTTTGCCCTCATGAGGATGGCAGAATAGAAAGGAGACAGGGTCCTTGGCCCTCAGAGGCGCTATGAACCTCTGGGCTGAACAGCTTAGCTTCCCACCTCTGGATTTCTAGTTAGAGGAGATAACAAGGCTGATTATATTTAAATCCACTTTAGTTGAGTTTTATGTGCATTGTGGCTAAAGGCATCCTAAAAAGAAGGTGTCTGTGAAAAGAATGGTATCAGGAAAGACTTCCATGTTCTTCTAAGAAGCCTGTGGTTTACCCCTAGAGGTGATGATGTATGTGTGTGGGTGGGTGTTATGTGATTAAGTGATTGGAAAGGACTGAAATGGTGTGATTTATGTTCTAGAAAGTATACTTTGGAAGTGGTGTGGGGGATGGGAGAGTGTAAATGTTTAATAAAATGGTGCAAAGATAGTAAATAAGCAAAGGGTGGGGGTCTTGTTGTGCTTTCATCTTGAGGAAGAAGAGAAGTGGAGTAAGTAGCATGTTGAAATTGGAAATTTATGGTAGAACTCAACTTCCAGGGGACCCACCATGGGGTGGATCCAATCTTGCAGACCTCAGAGAGGAAAGGGTGTGGGGAGGATGCTCAGGACAGTGACCTGAGGTCCTGCCAGGACCAGGCCATCAGCATCATCAATGAAAGGGTCAGTCAGTTTATTCACTCATGGGTCAGTTGTTAGGACTCAGCTCTTTCACTGACATGACCCAGGTGCAATCCCTGGTCCAGGAACTAAGATCCCACCAAAAAAAAAAGAGAGAGAGAGAGAGAGAGAGAGAGAAGACACAAAAGAAAGGGTCAGTCTGCCCATTGCCATTTAGCATCAGGAATCTTCCATTCTAATCTATATAATTCTTTGAAAATTGGTAGGGCTTCCCAGGGCCTTCCCTGGTAGCTCAGCTGGTAAAGAATCCGCCTGCAATGCAGGAAATCCCAGTTCAATTCCTGGGTCAGGAAGATCCCCTGGACAAGGGATAGGCTACCCACTCCAGTATTCTTGGGTTTCCCTAGTGGCTCAGATGGTAAAGACTGCACCTGCAATGCAGGAGACCTGGGTTTGATCCTGGAAATGCAAGGTTCAGATTTGATCCCTGGATTGGGAAAATCCCCTGTGTAGGAAATGGCAACCCACTCCAGTATTCTTGCCTGGAATATTCCATGGACAGAAGGGCCTGGGGGGCTACAGTCTATGGGATTGCAAAGAATCAGACACAACTGAGTATGCATGCGCACACACACACACACAATCTTTCAATGATGTTTAAAAATTTTTTAATTTGTTTTATCTTTTGGCTGTGCTGGGTCTTCATCATGGCCTGTGGGCTTTCTTCAATTGTGGCACTTGGGCTTAGTTGTCCTGTGACATGTGGGATCTTAGTTCCCCAGACAGGGATTGAACACGTGCCCCTGCATTGAGAGGTGAATTCTTAACCACTGGACGACCAAGGAAGTTCCTCTTTCTACAATTTAAGTGATTCCTCTCAATGTGACAGAATACACCCTCTCTTTTTTTAGATAAACAAAAACTTGCTGTGTTTGGGTGTGTTGATCTGTGTGTAATTGACTCAAGGAGTTGGACCAGATTGTTCCAGGCATCCAAGCTGATCCTGGGGACAGAAGTGGTCCTTGTAGTGGATGTGGGAGTGGCCTGGGAGTCAGGAGTCCCTCTTCCTGCTCCTGTTTCTGCCACAGGGTATATTCTGTCCAGCTAGCGGTCTCAGATGTATCTCATCCCTTCTTGGTGCTGTGCATGGTGGGTTTGGTCCTCTCTCCCTACCCCCAGTTCCTATGCTCTGTGTTCCTTCCCAGTCTCCATGTCCCTCCATTGGGCTGCATCTTTTACCTTCATTGATTCTTCACAGGGAGAGGATGGAGTTCCTCAGAATAAAAAGTTGTTCTCAGTGTCTGGTTTGGTATCAGCGGCCAAGTGAACGTACAACATTTATAAAGTCCCTACTATGTGCTCAGTGCCATGCAAGGCATGAGGAGGCATCCAGAAGAAGGTGGACTCCATTCTCCAGTAGTTGTCTGTACACACACACACACACACACACACACACACACACACAAGTGATGGGAGCCTGGGTAGTTTTCTGTGGTGGTTCTGAGAACAGGGGAAGTCACCAGTGCAGTGCTGATAATTAGTAAAAGCTTCTAGAGGAGGACTTCCCTGGCAGACCAGTGGTTAAGATTCCGAGCTTCCAATGCAGGGGACACAGGTTCAATCCTTGGTTGGGAAACTAGGACCCCACATGCCATGGGGGCAACTAAGGCAGCACCCTGCAATTACTGAGCCCACGTGCAACTAGAGAAGCCTGCACATGAGAACTAGACAGAAGCCGCCACTTGCCACAGCAAGAGAAAGCCTACAAGCAGCAACAAGGAGCCGGAACAGCTAAAAACAAAATCTTCTAGAGGGAGTGAGTCAGATACATTTGGGGTTTGAAAGTGAAAGCCACTCAGTCATGTCCTACTCTTTGAGACACCGTAGACTGTAGCCTGCCAGGCTCCTCTGTCCATGGAATTCTCCAGGCATGAATACTGGAGTGGGTAGCCATTCCTTTCTTCAAAGGATCTTTCCAACCCAGGGATCGAACCCGAATCTGCAGGCAGATTCTTTACCACCAGTGCCACCTGGGAAACCTATAATTTTGGGGTTTGGGCTGAGGGAATTCTTATCAACTGTTATGGACTGAATTGTGCCCCCCCCTCACCAGATGGATATTCTTATGTTGAAGTCCTAAACCTCAGGACCTCAAGTGTAACTGTATTTGAAGACAGGGTGTTTAAAGAGGTAATTAAGTTAAAATGAGGTCATTAGGGTGGGCTATAATCCACTATGACTGGTGTCTTTATAAGAAGAGGAGATTAGGTCACAGACACGTACAGAAGGAAGATGACATGAAGACAGTGTAAACATGATCATCTTCAAGCCAGTGAGACAGATCCTGCCCTCCTGATCCTCAGAAGGAGCCAACCTTGTGGATACCTTATCTCAAACTCTCAGTGTTCAGAGTTGTGAAACATAGTTTCTCTTGTTTAAGCCACTCAGTTTGGTGTCCTTACTTATGGTTCTAATATATACCTTAATATATCTTGGGTGACTCAGTGGGTAAAGAATCTGCCTGCAATGCAGGACACATGGGTTTGATGCCTCGATTGGGACGATCCCTTGGAGGAGGACACGACAACCCACTCCAGTATTCTTGCCTGAAGAACTCCATGGACAGAGAAGCCTGGCATGCTACAGTCCATGGGGTCTCAAAGAGTTAGACACCTTTTACTATATGTGTGTATATATATTTATTTATTTGGCTGCACCAGATCTTGGACAGAAAGGAGATCAAACCAGTTAGTCCTAAAGGAAATTGACCCTGCATATTCATTGGAATAACTGATTCTGAAGCTGAAGCTCCAGTACTTTGGCCACCTGATGCAAAGAACTGACTCATTAGAAAAGACCCCGATGCTGGAAAGATTGAAGGCAGAAGAAGGGGGTGACAGAGGACAAGATGGTTGGATGGCATCACCAACTCAATGGGCATGAGTTTGAGCAAGCTCTGGGAGATGGTGAAGGACACAGAAGCTTTCTGTGCTGCAGTCCCTGGGGTGGCAAAGAGTTGGATGGGACTGGGTGACCGAGCAACAAAAGGTCTCAGCTGCGGCATGTGGGATCTTCATTCTTCATCACAACATGTGAAATCTTTAGCTGTGGCATGTGGGCTCTATCTCCCTGACAAGGGATCAAACCCAGACTTCCTGTCTTGGGAGCTCAGAGTGTTAGCCACTGGACCACCAGGGAAGTCCAAAAATACCTGTTAAAATACATATAAATATAGCATCCCTCTATCTTCAAGTAAACTCTATGTTCCTGTAAGATACACATGCTTCGTCTGTGAACTAAGTCCACCCACTTGGAAAGTCATGGACTTGCAATCATTCATTCATTCATTCATTCTTCCAATACATTTAAAAAATTTATTTATTTGGCTGAACTGGGTCTTAGTTGCAGCATGCGGGATCTTAGTTTCAGAATGTGGGATCTAGTTCCCTGACCAGGGATTGAACCCAGGACCCCTGCATAGGCGGCACAGAGTCTTAGCCACTTAGCCACCAAGGAAATCCCCATAAGATACATTTTTAAGGAGTGCTGGTTGTAAGCTAGGTATGGGCTTAAGCATGGGTTTAGACATGCAGTTATAATAGATAAAGTACCTGTTCCTCTGGAACTTTCATTTGAGGGAGGGCAGGGGGCAGGCAATAGAGGAATAAATAAATAAGCAATGTAAGTCCAGAGTATGATAAGGCTGAAAAGGAAAGTGAACAGAGACGGTGAAGACGTGATGGAGATCAGAGGAGCAGGGCTGGTTTTGGCGGGGTGGTCAGCAGATCGTCTCTGATCCACCCCAGCTGTGAGGACTGGATATCCTAGCAGGAGAACGTTTCAGGGAGAAGTCACAGCTAGAGGAAGGACTTAGGGTTGGGGCTTGCTTGGGTGGTTGAGAATCCCCAAGGAGATAAGTATCATTGTGGCCAGGTCTGTAAGGGGACAATGGGATGGAATGAGCTTCTGAGCCCAGCGGGGACCCCATCATGCAGACCCTAGTAGTCCCCAAGAGAGGCTTGGG